CATGTCATTAATGAATATGTTTTTATAAATTATTGATATTTTTACTTAATTTTGTTCAAACAATTTACTTGTATCCAATTTTTCTATTTCATCTCTGTACTGATTATGTAGTTGGAAAGCATAAAGATTAGGTAATTAACTAAAAATAAAGCTCTAATGCTTTGTTCTTTTGTTCTTTTAATGTCACTAAGAACCATTAAAATAGATTTTTAAAAAGCATAGATGCAAAAAATGGATAAAGGGAATTAAAATGTAAGCAGATCCAGTTTGGGAAGCAAACAGAAAATGGGAGAGAAGAGGAATATCTGAATACCTCAAGTCTCTTAACGGAACACTGGCATACTCCCACACCCTGACCCATGTGAGGCTAAAACTTCATAGATATTTTAGCACTATTGAGGAGCTTATACATGGAGAAAGGATATACTGACCAAATTAAAAGAAGTACAAAGTAAATTTTAAGTTAACTGAGAATAAACAACTTTCATGTATTTCAGCACCATCCTTTTGTGAAAAAGAAGCAACAGCGTTAATTATAATGAAATCTTATATACTCCTTAAAGTAACCCTAACAACCCTCTCTACTGACTAAAATTCTCATCTCTTGGTTTAAGTAATAAAACAGTACTGGAACAGTGCTTTGTGAATTAACTAATTCAGACTACTCCTCTTTAATAAAAATAGATGGATTATTCTTTTTTTCTTTTGGTACCAGGGATCGAACCCAGGACCTTGTGCTTGTGAGGCAGGTGGTGGCACCACTGAGCTAAATCCCCGGCCCTGGATTACATTATTTATGAGTTTCATAAACTACTGTCACTGTAAAAATATTTTGAAAGGTCTTTTAACATTTAGCCATCAAGCTGGAGATGTAGTTCAGTGGTTCCACTGCTAGACTTGCAAGTGCAAGATCTCAAGTTAGATCCCCGGTACCAAAAAAAAAGTTGTTTTTGGGCCGGGGATTTAGCTCAGTGGTTCTGTTGTCTGCCTCACAAGTGAAAGGTCCCAAATTCAATCCCTGGTACCAAAAACAAAACAAAACAAAACAAAAAAACCAAAACCAAACAAACAAAAAAACATTTAGCCATCAAGATGTAGCTAAACACCAACCTTTTTTGCCTAATAAATTGGCAAAAAATACTTTAATAACCTCAAGTGAAGATGAGAATTCTAAGAAACTCATACAATGATGGAGCTGCAAGTGTAAATTAATACAACTTTCTGAAGGAGTGGGCTTTGTAAATCATTAATATCTTTTTTTTTTTTTTAACGATAAGGTCTTGGTATATAATCCAGCCTGGTCTGCAATTCACTATGTAGCTCAAACTGGTCATGAATTTAAGCCTTCTTCCTCAGCCTCCAGCGCTGGGACTACCAGCATGTACCACCATGCCTGGTTCAATCATTAATATCTTTGTGTAACACTTCTGATAGCAATATTTACCAAGATCTTTCAAATATTATTTTTACCTTAGCAATCCCAATTCAGAGAGTCTATCCCAAGGAAGTAACCAGAAATCTACATGCAAAAATAATAAACAAAAACAACTGCTATATATTGAGTACACATTATGTCCCAGGCACTCCATTACTTTACATAAACTATGATTTAATTTAATTTCCATAATAACCTTATGAGGCAGCTATGGATACTATTTTCATTTTGCAGATGATAGAAATAGAGGCTTAATGGGTAAGTGACTTATTTAAGGTCATAAAGCCAGTAAGTATGGTAGAACTGGGACTAAAATTCAGATCTATTTGAATCCTAAACCTAAATACTTAGACTAATAAGAAAACAAAGGGCAATCATTTCCCTTCTTTGGTAATTCTGTAAAATACTTGTAACTGAGAAAAACAACCTGGAATAGCCTAAATATCTAATCAAATGGATTGGTTAAAGGAATATTACACAGCTTTAATTTAACATAATATGGAAATAAGTTTTAATGTCTTTTGAAAAAGCTTATAATATCTTGAGTACAAGAAGGTTTAAAACAATATGTCAATGTGATCACTACTACAGTGTGTGTGTAGAAAAAAGAACTGAAGAAGAAATATAGGTTTAAACTTTCTTGTATGTCCTTTTCTGTGTTTTCTAAATTATTTTTGTAGTCAGAGAAGGCCGTGACACTTAGAAGTAAAGAAATGTTTTCTCCAAAATGGTAAGACATACATTATTTGTATTCTGAGAAGAAAAAGTTAAAGCATTTTTCTATCCTCACACTGAAAAATGCATAGACAAGAACAGTGGTAGGAGGTAAACTAGAACAGCTAAAGAATGGCATTTATATTTCATTTTAAAAAACAACCTGGAAGACTTTGCATCTTTAGACTGGTTTGAGTCCTCAGGCTGTTGTCAACCTATCATTAAGTAACAATGTGAAAACTATTTGCAGGGAAAGATTTGTAATATTTCCAATATATTTCCAAGACACCTATGCTTCATTCTTTTCTCTGTTCTGAACTTTAGTTACAGAGAATAATATTTCCTCCCCTAAGGAAAAACCATAATGTCTAATGTGAATTTATTACACAGTTGAAAAAGAAACAATTTTTGTAGAGTGCATGGATGAACCAGACAGTGAATCATGAACTGAAATGGTTTTGAATTAGCCTGTATAGACACTTATTTTTATATTCCTTAGCTTTCTACTCATCTAAAACTACCTTGAAAGGATTCAACAATTTAAAGATTAAATCATAAGTTATTAAGCCATTCATTTAACCATTTAAGCCTCTAAAACCAGTGTATATTACCTTCCCCCCTCAAGTCAATTTGCAAGAGATTAAAATAATAAAAATGATAATATCTCACATCACAAAGCAGCTTTGATCTGCAGAAGTATAAAGTACTTTTAAAAAACTTTATAAAATAACTAGGACCATCCACCCACACTTCAGAGTACATCTGAGGTAGAAGCTGGCAGCTAGAGAAAAGCAATGGAGTAATTTACCATCTGCACAGAAGACTATTACTTTTGAACAAGTAAAGGAATAGATGATTTAGGGAAATCAAACAGCATCAGCTTTTTTATCAAGTGGAAAGTTTAGCAGCCACAGATTTCAAGGGCTTCTGTTTATTTGTTTATAGACAGGGTTTCACTGTGTAGCCCAGGCTGGTCTTGAACTGGTGGCAATCCTCCTGCCTCAGCCTCCCGATTGCTGGGATTACAGACATGTACCAACATACCCGCTATTATTTATTTATTTAAAATTTTTTTTAAACAGCTGGAACAATTTATTCAGGGAAAGAAAACTTCTGTTTAAGAGACACAGAAGGAGGACTGGAAAGTGAGTTGCCCCAAGGGCTATTATTTAAAAGTGCACCAGAAATGGCTTAAGGTTTTCTTTCAGAGGGAAAACAAACATGGGGGTGGGGCACAGACAAGGTTATAGCAAGGAATATAGTACTTGCCTAGCATGCACAAGCCCCAGGGTTCAATCTCTAGCACTGAAAACAAACAAACACAAAATAAAAGAACACACAAAAACAATTTCTACTTAATTTAAGGAAATACTAGTCCTGGTTATTTTATCCAGATATTCCTGGGAAAGATAGGTACTACTGGTTTCATCTCAGAAACAGAATATCACATTTCAAGTTTTTCTGTCTCTGACAACATTTCCCTCTCATTTACACTTAGTTTCAAAGGTCTTTAAATAATTATAAGTCTTAATGTTTCAGTGCTTCTGGTTGAAATCCTGTTTCCTGCATCTACTGCAAGCACTCATCACAAATAATTTTCTGCCACCTGCAAAAACAAGAGATAAACTTTTCAAACCTGTATCTCTGAGTCTGCTTTTTTATTAATGTATTTTTCCTTCTAGTCTCTTTCTTAAAGAAAAAAAAAAGTGCTTCTATCCTACATCACTGTAGCGAGTGCTAGGAGCAAGGGTGAGGAAAACCCTGAGCTGTCTTTAGTGGGCAGCACTTCAATCCTTACCATTCACTTCCTCGGTGCTGATGTTTTCCTGTATCACTGAATTATAGTCGGTTCATATGTATAAAAGTTCAAGCACCTACAAAATATTTAAGTTAAGTACTTCAGCTGGATATAAAAAATAATTTTTGCACTCCGTGGGAGTATGCAAAGCTAGTATATTAAAGGCAACAACTATACCAAGTGAGATGGAACAGCCATTATATCTTAGCCACTGATTCCGTTTAAAAGAGCAGTCTACTTAATAGAATCTATTATTCTAGAAGCTTCCTTTGGCACTTGCTTGAATGTAAGAGAGAAGGGCCAGATGATCTTATAGTCCTTTCAGCTCTAGAATTCTCTTCTCTGTTGTTCTAATTTTACTGATGTTTCAAAGTGGTCATATTATGAAGGTGATAAATAGCCCCTAAAAATGGGAAGAAGAGGACTACATTAAATTGCCAAGCAGACTCTGATTGTTACTTAATACAATCATCCTTCTTGTAGGGGTTTTTGAGAGTGTCTTCCTAGTGATAAATCTGTGTTCTTTTCCAAATTTAATTCTGAATGAACAGCATGATTTTGTACAAAAATGAAAGAATTAAAAAAAAAATCCTAACTATGCTTCTTTTAAGCAAATAATACACATTTAGGAGATGAAAATTAATCTTAATATGCACTAAACAGAGTAATTTGGAAGATATTATTTTAAAAAGTGCATGGAAGTACATTAGAAAGTTAAAAAAAATATGCTGGGGTATAGCTCACTAAAAAGAGTGCTTGCCTAGCAGATGTGAGGCCCTGGGTTCAAACCTCCACACCTCAGTAACACACACACAGAGGAAAGAGGTGGGGGGAAGAAGGGTGGAAAGGAAGGCAAAGCAAAGTTATATAAATTGAAAACAGATCAATATTTTCCCCCAAATTCTGTTGATAGTTTTAGCAGCACTTGAGAAGAGGTGCTCTGGGTTTTGTATCGATGTGTACAAAAGTATACATATATGTATATCTATTTGTGTGCTCATGCACAGACATCTAAGAGACAGGAAATTAAAATGAAACTAAAAATCTTGATACCTTTTTCATAGCCTGACACTTGGCTGTCTCAGAAAAGCCAATCATCTTATCAGGAGAACAGATCTTGATGAAGGGGAAGTTGGATTCCTCTGCAATCTTTGCAGCTAAAGCAGTCTTCCCACTGTGAGGAGGGCCTGTGCGAAGATAAGAGCAAAGTAGGGGAAAAAAGCCAACCTAAGCAAAGAGGAATCAAACAAGTTTAAACTTTTATCCATGGCATACAGAGGTCTCAACTAGTTGCTCATTAACATTTCCCGTCAGTTTCATTGCAGACATGTTTCCTTTTATTTATTAGCAACTAAACTTAATGAACTGATTAGCATTTCTCAAAAATATGGTGAAATACATACATGCCTTTTTGCTTTCTCACAAAGACTCAATCTTTCAAATTTCTGGCTAAATATATAAAGTGTAAGGGTTTTACTTCTTAAAGACAGGATGCACTCAAACGAGTATCATTACTTGTATTATTCTATCAAATCATTTGTTTAACAATACAAAAAATCTTCTTAGGAGAAGATACTGGTGGCAGGGAAAAGCTGCCTTATTAGAAGCAAATGTATCATAAAAAAGTGGAATTCTAGGGCCGGGGATTTAGCTAAGTGGTTCGGTGGCCTGCCTTGGAAGTGCAAGGACCGGAGTTCAATCCCCGGTACCAAAAAAAAGGTGGAATTCTAAAGACCTCGGCCTTATCATAAAGGCAACCAAATCTACACAATTTTCTTGAATTTAGACAATCCCACCTTTCCCTCTTGTGTATTAGAAAATGTGCTCTTCTTCCAAACATAAACCAGTCAATTCATCCTTACCATCTTCCTGGGAATCTGACATTAGTGACTGTTCCTCTCTCCCAATAGTTGGGCCTCTTTCTGAATGCTTTTCTGAAGCTTTTCAATAACATCTGATAGTTCAATAAGTAAAATAAAATGCTCTTTCTGGATTTCATACCACATAAGCTGTTCCATTCTTCATCCATCCTTACCAAACTATCACTCCCACCCTCATTACATTGATCAGGCTCCCATCAAGGTCATCAATGACCTTAATGTTACCAACCCCAACCCCAATACACACTTCGCCTTTGTTGACCTCTTATGAGCATTTGGTACAAGTAATGATGCCTCTTTTTTTGAAATACTGTATCTTTCTTTCTTTTGAGGGGGTAGTACTGGGGATCAAGCTTGGGATCTTGCTCCTGCGAGGGAGGCGGCAGAACTACTGAGCTATATACCCAGCCCTTACTGTACATGTCTTTTTATGACTTCTGTGACAGCATATTCTCCCTCTTCCCTCTCCTCTGTTTGTTCTTGCTCAGTCTTCTTTGTCAACTCTTCCTGCTCTATTTAGTCCCTACACTGTTAACACATCTCAGAAATAAGCTTCTAAGACCCCTTTACATCTCAATTCACATCCCTTTTTTTTTATTTTCCTTTTTTTTTCTTTTTCGGTGGTATAGGAGGATTGAATCCACAGGTGCTCTACAACTGAGTCATGTTCCCAGCCATTTTTAAAATTTTGAGACAGGGATGAAACTTGCAATCTTCCTGCTCAGCATTCCTGAATGCTGGACAGGTGTGTGCCTCTGTGACTGGCACCATACCCTTTCTGTAAATGAGCCCGTCCACACCTATGGCTTCAAGGGCAGCATAGTATACATTGACAAATCGTGAATCCATTGTCATCCAGACCACTCTTCTGAGTCCCAGACCTACATATCCAATAGGACTTTCAATATTTCTAATTTAATTATCTGATAAAAACCCAGAATTTATTAAAAAATGAACTCATGATCTTTCTTTTGAAATGTGCTCCACAAGTGTTTTCAATCTTAGTAAACAGCAACATTTATCTAGCTGTGTAATGCTCAAAACCTGGAGAGCTGGGGATTTAGCTCAGAGGTGCCACTGCCTGCCTTGCAAGTGCAAGGTCCTGAGTTTGATCCCCGGTACTAAAACAACAACAAAACCCTGAAGGTCATGCTTACTTTTGCCCATATTCAATCTACCAATATTTCTAAGCTTTAGCTTCCCTACATATAAGATAGGGATAACAACAGCATCTCTCATAGGACCAAAGTGAGATTTAAATTAGATAATATGTATATAAAATGCTAATAGAGTAACTGGCAAATAGGAAGGGCTAAAAGAATGTTAGCCTATTATGAATGATAATTATAATTTTATCAAGTTCCTTTTATTCTACCTATGTTTCAAATTAGTCTACTTATCTCCATCTCAACTGCCACTACATTACTTCAAACCACAAGCAGCTTCAATTAAGACAATACGACCTCTTCTAACAATTAGCCCTCTGATGTCTTTTTGCTCCTCCAATTCATTCCCCCTCATAAAGCACTCATAATGTCTTGAAAATAAAAATCTGACTACACGGTTTTGTTGCTTATAGGTAAATGGCTTTCCACTGCCCCTGAGATAAAGTACTAAGTCTTTAATATAAAAATACGAGACTTCGTGAGAATTGGCTCCCGTATACTTCAGCTCTCCAATCTGTCTGTCTCTAGCTCCTTGCTGCACACTGGTATTTTACAGGCTAGTCCTAAGCCCAGAACATCTTCCCTAGTTACATACTTAGCCTGGTCACCTTCTCCTCATCTCTTGGGCTCTGGCTTACTGTGTGTCTCCCAGGGAGCCCTCATACTCTGACTCAAGGGGTTAGGTTTCCTTGTCACTGGTCTCACTGAACTTTTCTGTTGTCATACTAATCATAATTACAAGATAAATATTTATGAATGGAATGTCCTTTCCCTTTTATGAAAAAATTCTAACTGATCCTTCAAGGTCTAAATTAAATATCTCCTCTAGTTTTCTTTGTCCACCTTGGGCAAAATGACTTGCATTCATACACACCTTTACACGTATATACTGTATTTAGAAATTACTTTACAAGTCTTTTTTTCATGACTAGATTGAACATTTGAATGTCTTTGTATCTGCAGCAACTAGTTTAATCTCTAAAATATAGCAAGTAGTCAGTAAACACTTATTTAATTGAATCAATTTCTATGTGGTATTATTCAGTCCATTAAGTACCAGAGGCATTTAGATACAATCCTACAGGAAAATGAGCTGCCATTGTTCATCAATAACATTCCACCCCATGAAAATTTTAATTTGTACAAATATTGGTATGTAGTATGGGTTACTATTCTTAGATCATAAACTAGGTTTAGAACTGAAAATAAATTACCTTCTAGAATGTGCCAAATGGCTTTTACAAGTACACTGAAAAAGGGCCTAGAATTTAGCTCAGTGGCACTGTGCCTGCCTTGCAAGTACAAGTTTGATCCCCAGTACCAAAAAATAAAAAATAAAATAAAAGTACACTGAAAACAAAGCTTTTAAGGTCATCTCATCATTCTTTCTTACCTTCCAAAAGGACGCTAACCAGTGGTGTACGATCGCTGTTTTTAGTCTGCTGGACCAAAAGTTCCCCATCATCCAGAACTCGAGTAACTGGGTCACCCCATTTGATGATTCCATTCATAATGTAACTTGCATAATCCTCTTGGTTTGTGCCAAATGCCTATTGAGAAAAGGGATAGTGTAAAGCATTCTGAGCATTAGTTTTAAAAAAACTAAAACTACTTCTTTTCTGCTCCATTGTGTTGCATATGTCTGACCCCATTCCATGCCATGTTTTTTTTGGTACCAAGAATTGAACTCAAGCCCTTGCACTTGCCAGGCAGGTGGTGGAGCTACTGAGTCAAATCCTGGGCCCTCCTTGCCATGTTTTCACAAGCCTTTCAGGATCAAGCAATTTCTGGCCACAAGACAAAATCAAAATCATTCTGTTCCCCAGTGGATTTGGGTAAAAACTGGTAATAAAATCAGATACAACTGTGTAAGCAGCAATTGGGGAAGAACCAAGCTGTGTCTGTAAGGAATTGCACATGAGATAACAAATATATTTATGCATCAGGGCCATTGTCATCTTACTGTACTAAGCTGGAAATGTTACCACTGTCTTGACAGTTGCGTATGTTCTACTGGGAATCTGACTTTTCTTTTTATTCCTATGCTCTGCACTAAAAGGTTGGTTTTAATAAACATACGAACTTCTTGAACAAGAAATACTGAAGATACAAAAGATGAGTAAAGCTGGGAGTAGCAGCACATGTCTGTAATCACAGTACTCTGGGAGGCTAAGGCAAGAGGACTGTAAATTCAACCTTAGCCTGGGCAACTTAGTGAGAACCTGTCTCAAAAAGATTAACATACACTTAATATACACTAAGAGTATCAGCACTAATGGAAAAAAAATAGATTCTAGGCTCAGATTCTACCAGCACCCAAACCCTCATAATCATAATCCTCAAGAGAAAATATGGTCCAATATACTTGTTTCTATAAAGTGTAAGCAGGTTGTGGCCATTATGCTAGAACAAAGAGAAAAAGTAATTATGGACTTAGAAATTAGAAACAGCTCAGCACACAGGGATACAATCCTAACACTGATTGTAGGTGCTATACTTCAAAATGTGAATATAAGGACTGGGGATTTAGGTCAGTGGTTCTGTCATCTGCCTCGCAAGCACAAGGACTCAAGATCGATTCCAGGTACCAAAAAAAAAAAAAAGTGAATACAAATTGGAAATGATCATGTTCACATCAATTTGTGGTTGGGGGCATAAGTTAAATGACACTCACATAAATGTATACTTATAAATATTAAAAAGTTAGAATGATATAGAAATAGGAAGCTACAATGAAGGGTTAGGAAAAGGAAATAAAAGTGACAGCTAAGTTGGGCATGATGGTAGATGCCTGTAATCCCAGCACTCTGGGAGGCTGAGTCAGGAGGATCTCAAATTCAAGCCCAGCTTGGGCAATTTAATGAGGACCATCTTTAAAAAAAAAAAAAAAAGTTGGAGATACAGCTCAGTACAAAGGCCCTGGGTTCAATCCCTAGTATAGACAATAAAAAAGTAACTACTATATAAAGGAATTATCCTATATAATAATTTTTATCTACTATATATTGAAGCTTGAATCATGTTCCTCTTCATTTTTAACTTTAATTGCAAAGATTCTAACTCCCATAAAAATAACTATCAAAAGTAGTTAATTTTATTACTTACAATTGAATTGGATCTTACAATACAATGTACACATAAAGATCATATATCTTGAGAATTGAAAATTTTTAAAGATCATCATATCCCTAAAAAGTCAAGTTTTGATTGCCTCATATATGGATTAATTTTAACAGTTCTTTAGAACTTATACCTGGAGGTACTGAATTTTCATATTTCTACTACTTTGCCCAAAAATCATTTTTCATGTCATTCTTTGGGTAATATATACCAGTACTTTGATTCCTGAGTACAGAAGAAAGTCCTCACTTTTGGGCCTGGATATGACAAGTTCAGTTGCTTTGTAAATTCATAAAGGAGGAACCTAATAAATACAGGCTGAATGGATATTCAAGGAAATATGTAGGTTGGCTGGCTTGTGTCTTTAATTCTCCCAAGTAATAATCCAAGTCTCACAGAAGAAGCTTTAAGATGCCTGAACATAGCCAGGAGTGGTGGTGCATGCCTGTAACCTCAGCACTCAGAAAGCTGAGGCAGGAGGATTGCCATGAGTTTGAGGCCAGCCCGCAGTACAAAATGAGACCTTGTCTCAACAAAACAAAACAAAACAAATCCCCCCAAAAGATGACTGAACATAAAGAATGACTCTCCAAGGCAATAAATAAATATATTTATCTTCCTTATAAATCCCACGATTTTTTTTTATCCTATAGACTCTTGGAATAAATAAAAGTAAAATTTAGTCCTTACTTCCCATAGCCAAATTGTCTGCCATTAAAAAAAAATCTTGTAATAGGCTGGGCTCTAACATTTTTGGTAATTACTACAAATGATAGCAGCAAAAGATTAAACCATGTTCACTGTCCAGTAACTTTTAAAAATAATTACATTTAAAAATCATAACTATCATAAAAGGTAGGGCTAAAACAAGTTGACTTTTGTATTTAAAGGAGATATTTGCAACAAATAATTAGTGAAACTACATTAACAAATGGCCAATAAGCATAAGATGCTCAGTATCAGTAATCATTAGGAAAATACAAATCAAAACTACAATGAGATTTCACTTCATACTCATTAGGATGGCTACTATCAAAAAACAAAAACAGTGTTGACCAGGGCGTACAGAAACTGGAACCCCTGAACCCAGCCAGCTTTGAATGAGTCTTAGCAATTAAAATATTTAATGAGATAGCAATTTCCAGAAAGTTACAAACTCCACTTCCTTCTCCTCCTCCTTCTCCTTCTCCTCCTTCTCTTCCTTCTCCTCCTTCTTCTCCTCCTCCTCCTATTATTATTATTATTATTATTATTATTATTATTATT